CGGTGGGGCCGGAGCAGCCGGAGCGGAGGCGGGGGAACCGGGGGAACCGAGGGAACCGGGGCCTGCAGCGGGTCACTGCTGGCTTTACCCTGCGCCGAGGGTCCCGCTGAGCCGCTCGTAGCCGTCGCGGCAGGGAGCGCTTCTTCTCTTGGGCTCCTCGTCCCGGCTGTTTACGTGCCGCGTTAGGCTTTATTCCCCGCCTCCCGGCGACAAACCTGCCCCTAATCCTTCGGCCTGTAACCGGGCGTAGTTTGTCGTGGGATTAAACCCTGCTGGAGCGACGGGAGGTGGGTGTCGTGTGTCGTGTCTGCAGCCAGAGGCGCAAAAAAGGAGCCAAGTCTCTGAAAAAAAATGTTTCCAAGAAAAGCAAATGGAAGTGTAGTGTTGAAGGCAGGGCAGTGCTGGTAGATGCCACTAAAGTCACAGCCAGCCTCCGTGGAGAATCCCCTTACGCTACTGGGCCCTGAAGGAGGTGAAACGTGGAAAGTATGCAATTTTTCCACTTCGTTGGTTACATCATTTCAATGTCAAACTGCTATAATGAAGGCACCTTAAGCTAGGTAAATCTTTTAAGATCTAGGTTTTAGTTATGGGGGAGATGAGAACGCAGCAGTGAAACGGTTCGGTATGTTGAGATGCTTGTAGTGTGGAAGACGGCACACATAAAATGACTTTCTATGTTTTCTCTGTCACAGAGACTTTGGATTGCAGTTCTCCAGTGCAGAATAACTGAGAGAAACTCACCGAGACTATCGCTCAAACTCTGTATGCTTGACAAAGAAGTGTTAGGATGGGAAATAGTGCATTAAAAGCTCACCTGGAGACAGCACAGAAAACTGGTGTGTTTCAGCTAACGGGAAAGGGACTTACAGAGGTAATGTAACTGTCGTGGAAACGTGGCTGTTTGTGTGTATGACTGACTATTTTGGAAAGAAATTCCCATCTTATTATCATAACACGCTGTGTACATGCATTTCTCATAAATAGTGATGGGTGATATTATTTTAAAAAAATTTTTTTTTTCCTTTTTGCAGAGCAGATTTTTGCTTGCACTGTCATCTGATTGAGGATTTGTCTGTCAGGACACTTGCATGCTTCTGACTTCATGCTTTAGAGTGCATGTGTGTTCAAGAAGTACTGGTTATGATGTCGTCGTGCTTTTTAAAGAAGGGCTGTAAACTTGGGGAAGAAAAAGTAAATTTTATAACGGTGTTGTTCCCTAGAAAGATAGTCCACAATTTTTTGCATTTAGGTACTTATGCTATATTTAATTGTAGTCACATGAATGTCTGTACAGGCTGTTCACTGGGCTGGAAGTATCTTGAAAATTGTTATATTGGAAATTGTCTTGACTTTGACTCAGCTGCAGAGAAACACAGAATGTCTTGGAACCATAAGTCTAGGAACAATGCACAGCATAGCCAAAATAACTATACTGCAGTAATTTTCCATGGCTTTTCTAAACTCTCTTCTTCTACTGGCCTACCTTCTCTCTTCCCTTTTCCTCTGCCAAGCCAAAGGAGAATCAAAACCACTGGCCTATTGACCAGGACTTGCTGATGGCGATTGTCAGTTTTTCTTTTTTTCAGCTTAGTGCCAAGTGTAGATTAAAGTGGTACAGGATGTAAATAAGAATAAGGAAAATGGTTTACATAATTATTTTAAAAGGAAAGCAAGAGAAAATTTTCCCAATCCTACTCTGCTAAAATACAGAGCCATTAACTAGCTGTAGAATATTTTTAAATGACGGGCACATTTAAAAGAAACACACAAGAGGACTAAAACATAAACAAGCTTGTGTGATGGTATTCTTCCTTTTCCCTTTTTAATATAAATTCTTTGGCTTAAAAACTACTCTGCCTAGATGTTAGACTGTCTCCTTTATATCCCTTTTCCTGTCTTCAGATGAAAAAATATTTTTAAAACTATGTATTAAGCACTTTTGCCAACTTAGTTGCGCACTGTGGTGATTGGACATTGTGATACATATGACAGTACGTAATAGCCATACAAGTTTCAATTAAAATTTTAAGCTGCGTAACTTGACCATTTGAAGTTGTATCAACTATTTAAATGTATCTTTTTTCTCTCCCACAGTTTCCTGAAGATCTGCAGAAGCTAACAAGCAACTTAAGGACAATAGACTTGTCGAACAACAAAATAGAGCTTTTGCCACCACTCATTGGAAAATTTTCCTTTTTGAAGAGCCTTGTTCTAAACAACAACAAACTGAGTATGCCTGCTAATTAATATCTCCACAGATTTTTAAAATATTAACCTGACTTCTCTGATCAGAAACTGAATTTAATGATTTAACTCTCATGGGATGTAAATGGGGAGTTTAGTCACCTAAACTGAAATCTTTTGAATTCATGTACAGGAAAAAAAACCCAAACCCATAAATTCTTCAAAACCAGTTGCCAGTTTAGTAGTTTTATCAGTTTTACAGTGACATGTAAGTACTTAAAACCGTAAAACATTTCTGTGCTGTCACTTGTCTGATCTGAAGGTTTAACAGTGTCAGATGGTTTAGTACTTGCATAGAGAACAGGTAATGAAGATGATCTGTAGAAAATATTGCCGGCCACTCAATGGTTGTTATGGTTTCTGTTGGACAAATGTCCAACTTTATGGAAAAATAAGGATGAGGTGAAGAAACTAAATTTTGTATATAGTAATTGTGTATTATCTGCCTTTTTGAAAAACAAATGTAATTTACAAACCTCTTTGATTCTGTAGTGGAACTCGAGGAGTACTACAGGTTATACACGTGTGTAGGTAGAACGAGGGAGGAATGAATGCCAGCAGAGGTTGCCTGGTGAGGCTTATAAGCTGTATGATACGATAAAAATTATCTGAGAACTTACTTTTGAGTGAGTTGAGTAAAACCTTTAAAGGGCTGCAGCAGACCTGAAGCTGTGAATTCTGTGGTACTTCAACTGTCATAGAATGTATTGGCAAAGGGGTTAGTAAAGAGTGTAACTGATCGGCTAAAATCCTCTCAGAGTAGTGTTTTCAGCCTGTGAAAAAGGCAAGGTCTGCCTTGTCTGCAGGTTATTTTTAAGATATTTATGGAAGATGGCTAGAAAGCATGTGGTGTTAGTGGGCTTAAGTTTCTGTGCAGGGATTTGTGCCTTCATAGGAAAATGGGGAGGAACCCTGTGAGAAATTAGTGTAATATAACACCGTTTTCCATGCAGAAGCTTATTTGTATTAAATGGTTATGAATGTTTACTGCTTTTTCTTTAGCTCATCTCTTTGTTCTGTCATTTATTTCTAGCTGCTTTACCTGAGGAACTGTGTAAACTGAAAAAACTGGAAACACTACACTTGAATGGCAATCATTTGAGGCAGCTACCGGCTGCATTTGGACAACTGTCGGCTCTCAAAACCCTGAGCCTTTCTGGAAACCAGCTTCGGACTGTGCCTACACAACTCTGTGGTCTTCGCCACTTGGATGTGGTAGATCTTTCCAAGAACCAGATCCAAAATGTACCCGACACCGTCGGAGAATTGCAGGCTATTGAGCTCAATTTGAATCAGAATCAGGTCTGGTAACTGAGATATTACAGGCATGTAGATTTAGGATGTGGTTTATCTTGGACTTAGTATGTCCACAGAACATAAGCTGAGACTATCAAAATGTTACAGCTAAAAGACATCTCCTGGACACCAAAGAGCAAGGGGTCATATCTAGAATTTGTGTACTGATACATCTAACTGCCGGATTTGACTAACTAACAAATCCTGAATTTAATCATACAAAAAATTTGAGCAGTTCTTGAGTAGGAGTCTGATACACAGATGTGTAGGCTGTCTGTCATCATGGAAGAAAAAAAGTTATTTGGATTTTTTGACCATTATTATTGTTGCTTACACATTGTTGTTAAGTAGTCACTGTTAATGTAGTTTATATTTACAACATGGTAATTGTTTCATATTAGTCTGAAACGCAAATCACTTTAATCACTGATCGCTAACATTTTAATCGCATTTCCCTTTGTTTTTTTATTTCTACCAGATTTCCCAGATCTCGGTGCAGATCTCCCACTGTCCGCGCCTCAAAGTCTTACGTTTAGAAGAAAACTGTCTAGAACTCAGCATGCTTCCTCAAAGTATCCTCAGTGATTCCCAGATCTCACTCCTTGCAGTGGAAGGTAACCTCTTCGAAATCAAGAAGCTCAGAGAACTGGAAGGTTATGACAAGGTTTGTGTCTTTTTTTTTTTTTTTTTTAATGAAGCTTCTGGTGAAGTCCTTGCCACGTACCTCCTCACAACACTAAGCTTTTATGCTCATGAATAAAGCACAGTCTACTGGTATTGTCACTGGTACTGGATTTGTACTTCTGAAAAGAATTTCAGGAGTTCTTCAAAGACTAATTTCCTCGTAGTGTTCAGGATCAGTGTTCTTTCCTCAGCATCTTTGGGTAGCTAATGATGGCAGGTGTGTGAAGGAGTAAGTCTTGACTCTGATGGGACAAAAAATAATGGGTGCTTCCTATTATGCAGCATTCTTAACTGTTTAACGTTAGTTCATCCTTAACACTTGAGATCCGACTGTTGAGCACTGCGAGGACTTTCTTTCTCGTGTATTAATCTAAATTACAGCAAATGGCAGAAAGTTTTTTGTTTATTTTGGTTGTTTTTCTTTTTTAAATTAAAACTCTAATGGTTGTGCCTAGGAAATGCAAATATGCTTTAGATGCAGAGTGCTTTTGAGTCCGAGAGCAGAGGCTTCGCTGCTTTCAAGAGTGAATCTTGCATTAATTTCTCAATCTCAGATTTTTTTTTTGTTTTCTTTATAGTACATGGAACGATTCACAGCTACAAAGAAGAAGTTTGCGTGATCATTATTATGACCCTGTGTATTCCCAGTAAGAAGAGTTAGTGTCTGAAGCACCTGCTTCACTGACTTACTTAAACCAAGACCGATGAAGGAGATGATCAGAGTACTCCTCCTCCTCCTCCTCCTCCAGTAGTCTGATATGGTCTGTTAAGGCCACATTGAATAAACTTGAACTAGAGAACATGGGTTTTGAACTGATGAACCTGCCCAGGGGCCAGTTTTGATTTTTGTGCCACTATAGCTTTTAACACAATACATGTTCTCCTTTTCCAGGGCTTGTTCTTTAACAGAGAAGGGGAATGAGCGTTTCAAAGTTGCCAGTTCCTTTTTGTCCAGAAGCTGGCTGTTGATTTGTAAGAGGATTATTTCTCCTGGAAACATTTTTCCATGATAGCAGATGGAAGTTTTACCACCAAAGCAGATCCAAAACATTGTACGTGTTGGAGTAAGCACTATTCTACAGAGAACTTTTACAGATGAGGTTTTAGTTTATAACCTGTTGGAAGTTTTTTATGAAGCACAAATAGTTGTCACCAAGTGTTTTATTAACTGCTTCCAGTAAACAAGTCATGGTTTGAGCATCCTTCATTCATATTACTGTAGGGGCTTTCTTTTCCCATAAGCAAGAATTGCACTACGGTCTACTTCTGCTTGAGCTGTATCAAATAAAAATGAGGTTCACCTTCAGTGTATTCAGTAAAAATGTGTATTGCTGGAGAAGACACTATCCTTGCACTGACTCCTGTACAGGGCAATGCTGAAAGTTTTAGTTGTCAGCCTGCTGCTGCTGCCTTATTACCAAAAGCACCTAGAAAGAGCTAAATATGTATGCAATTTATGTAACTTATACTGAAAAGGAAAATGTACTTGTTTATTTTAGTAAATCATTTTAAAGAAATCAGTCCAAGTTCATTTGGTGTAACTGCTGCTGTTGTCACGTTAACAAGAGGTACTAAGCTATCACTTATGTACTTGGTTCCATCAGTTGTTGGTAAAAGCTACACTTCAACTGGAAACATTCTCTGCTCAGACATGCTACTTCGCTCCAGTTTAACATTTATCAGGCCCCTTCTGTCTATTCAACAAACATCTATGAGAGAGAATAGATTAGAACATTTAAAAATTATGAAGTTGGCATCACTACTAAAAATTCTTACTGCTGTTGGAAGTATTTGAGATAGCAAGTAATTTCTCTTGTTTACACACACCTTTGGTTAGTGCATTGATAAACCTTTTGATTACACTGTGGGGCTCCTTTGCTACCTTGGAGTTATGACAGCTATCAAAAATTTTGTAAAGCAAGAGGGAGAAAACACCATGCAAAATACTGAATGGTGCTAAGTTAGTCCTGGATTAGCCAAATTTGTTTCAGAACAGAGGAAGAGTATTTCTCTTTCAAGGGGAGGGAAAAGAGAGTGACTGACACCCTCACATTTTAGGTCATAGCAATAACTGTTACCACTTTACTTCATAGAGCACTGTTCTGTACATTTCAGCACTACACACAATCTAGTAGTAGTTTTATATTGTGTTTCTCCATTTTCCCTTCTCACCACACCCTCTCTACAAATGACACTGTAAACCTATTTTATTTCCATGCACAATTGTACTTGCAGCTTTTTAGTTTTGGAATTCTTGAGATAGAAAGCATTACCCTAGTTAACAGCTTGAACCATTCATGTATTCTGTGTCAGACCCGTTTTACACGCTCTCCAGTTTTCCACTGCAGTAAGATAGGTACACTTCATCCGTTTATTCAATCAATACAGAGACCATGGATTGCTGTTTCTAGTGCAGCAAAGGTGAATTAGCAACTGCAAAACCCACTGCATTGTGTAGACAGGGAATTGTTTCAGCATATAGCCTTCACAGAGGAAAGAGTTCTGCAAGTTGTTCTGCTGCAGTTCATACTACAGCTGCCCCTGTGTTGAGAGGCTTAACTCATCTTTTAAGGAAGAATTCACCAGCTGTCGTGGTTTAAAGTGTACCTATGGGACACATGCTGTATGCTCAGAAAGGTTACATATGCAGGCTGTCTCTAATTTTTTATGTCCCCCCCCTAATTACTAGTAGAAATACACTAGGCAGCCCCATGGTAGTGTAAGTACATCTATATCCCCGATATGCCACTCTCTCCTGCAGCTCTGAAGTGCTGCAAGTCAGTACAAGCCTGTGTTCCACCCGCTGCCACCGCCCCCCTCTCCAAGAGCATCCTGTGAATCTGAGGCTCAAACATCAGAGAAAACAGAATTCTGAATTGCTTTGCAGGTGAAATTGCATTGGCAGTAGGTTAACTCACTAGATTTCACCTATTGGACTAGGTATTTGCTAGGCGTCTGTTACCAACACTTGACTGGAGAGCTTTATTCTGCTTAGTTCCTTTATCATCTTGAAGTATAGTCCCATGTCAAATCATAGTCTTTCAAAGAAGAGATGGACACACTTAGAATCATAGAATCGTTGAGGTTGGAAAAGACCTTTAAGATCAAGTCCAACCGTTAACCTAACCCTGCCATCCCACCACTAAACCATGTCCCTAAGCACCTCATCTTCCCATCTTTTAAATACCTCCAGGGATGGGGACTCGACCCCTTCTCTGGGCAGCCCATTCCAATGCTTGACAACTTGATATTTTGAAGGTAGGTGACATTGACTATGCAGGAATGACAACTAGAGTGTTAAAAAAAAAAATCAAGATATTCCTCTCTTCCAAACTACAGCCATTCCTTTGTTAGCATTAGGATTTCTGTGAAATAAAAATAGAAGGGAAACTTCCTAGTTGCATAGTAGCAACTAATTCTGCCAAGTTTTTCAAGGACAGGAAACTAAACAAGGACGCTTCCAAGAGAACACAGTTTTAAAAACACATTCAGTTATAAAGGTATGTATTTTTTGTGCATAATATATAGTTTAACAATCAAAAGCAGAAACTGTAAACCTTCATTCTTAATGGCATTCAGAAATACAAAGATGTACAAGTGCTGATTCAATCCCAGAGATACGGAAGTGAAGCATCTATTCTATAGACAACAGTAAGACAATCCAAGAAGCAGAATGTGTTGTTCGCTAACATAAAGGCACCAACTTACTCACAGATTTGGCTCTTGCTGCATCAGAAAATAGTACTGATAACCCAATAATACTTGAGCTCAGAGTCTCAGAAAGCAAGTATTTCCTTGTGTGGTATTCATTGCAATATCAGGGTTCTGATACACCAACCACAGCATTCTCTCAGCCAACATGCTAATTTGTTGTTACAGCTCAGGGAAGTTAAGACCATCGACTTGTAATGGCAAGGAAGAAAAACATTCCAGTGTTTGGAATGTCCGGATGCTACGGAGCAGGTTTGCCCTATTGTAAGCAGAATAAGGTAATTGCTTCTGTTTCAGGAGAGAATCATAATTAAATAATGTATGCTTTGCTTTCACAACCAGCAGCAAGTATTCCTTCAGTTAACCTGAAGTTTATAAGAAGGAGGAAAGAAAGCACACAAATCCCTTATGCCTTCCCATGCAAGTGGTTGTTTGGAGTTTACTATGCAATGTTCTTAAAGGCACTTCTTTGCTACTTGTGTTTTTAAGCACATAATTTTCATTACTAATGGGGTAGATAATGAGCTTTTAAAATTCATTAGCTTTCCAACAATTACTGGAAGCCAGACAGAAGCCAACACACAATACTGAAGCATCCAGCCCCTAAAAATTACTTTACCTTATTCACATAAAACAGTGTACCACTGGCCTATTTATTACATGCAGCAACTCCATCCTTTGGTCAGGTTTGGTTTTTTTGGGGTGGGGGGGGTGGAGAGTAGGGGTGTGTACATGGGTTTTGGGGTGTTTCCCCCCCTTCTTTAAATATCAAGTTATCCTGGGGGTGAACTGAGAATATACCTGTAATACTGATTGTATTTCTACTGAAAAAACAAAACACTTCACACATTCAGCAGATTAGTGTTATCTCTCTAGCCCTGGGGTTTATTATTAAAGGCTACATGATACTTGTGGACTGTCCTTCCAAACCACCACGTCATAATGCTATTATTTTTAATTATTCCTCCAATCAATTTGAAGATTTTTGCCATCTAACACTGAGTATCACGGGTTAGTCCAAAGCATCATTTCCACCTTGAAAACAGACATAATATATTGCTGGGCAGAGTTGAAGTTATACAGGTCACTTGCAATTTACTTGCCAAAACCAAAAAGGTCAAGAAAATCCTGCGGATAAATCTGATAATATAACAGTAAAACCAAAATGTTTTTCCTCTTCACAGGAAGAAAGCTTTACCTCACCTGGTCAGAAACTCCTCTGTTCTGCAACAGAAGGGGAACATCTTAATTGCAAGCAACTTGGACATGTAATATTTCCAATTGCCAGTCCCAAAGTCTGCAATAAGAAACCAGTCCAGAATCCATTTAGAACTAGCATACAGTTCTTACATAGGTACTGCTTCCTCTAGACCTGTGACAAAGAAGTTTTATAATAAGCTTCTCCGTTTCCAGTAGGTTTAAGAAGCTCCCCCAAAATCACTGCTGAGAAGAAACTCTGCACAAGATTTCAGTCATTATTTTGCGCTAGAAAAAGGCATAGACTGAACTCCAGTGAAAACTGACCAAAATAGAGTATGATATGGGATGCAGGAAAGCTGCATGCTTTCCTACTCAGTTTCTTCCAGTTAAGATGCATCATTCAAACACTTAAAATAACCTTTAGATGAGTGGCATAAAATTTTCCATCAAATAAGTACTTTAGGGAGACAGTTTTATTTTCCTCTACTCACATGTGCATGGAGTTTAGGTCAGGTATATATACACACCCCAAATACTAACAGAACAATGCATCATAATTTCCTAGTCATGGCCTCCAAACCAATGGCAATTTACAATAAAGAATTGGAAACCTGTATGCCCCTCCAGTTACCTTTACATTAAAGTTCATGTGTTTAGGAAGTGTTTTTAAAGCCCTCAACCCACAAGAGTCAGTAGTGGGCCTCTTCAATTCTGTAATCTACAAACTCAACCCCAAACCAATTGTGTGGTTTGAACTGTAAAACTATAGTTAGCCTGCTAGAGATAGAAGTCAGACAATATTCACCAAGTTCCTGTTTTAGTGAAGACAACCAACTTATGAGGTATTTCAAACAGTGCAAAGTGCCCTCTCCAACTTTCCACAACTGTGAATTCAGGTTACCCTGCTTGTTCAACTTCAATAAAGGGCTGTATTTTGGGGGGTGGGGGAAGAGACTGGGATGGGGGAGTAAAACACGCAAGAAGATTCTCAAAGCCATAACACTTTTAGCCCTGAGCAGTTTAAAAAAAAGTGAAGGCAGATGAGTAGGAGGAAGTTATGTTGGCTGCTTTCTTGGAGTCAAGGCCATGTTTACATGAAGCAATAAAAAAAATAAAAGAAAATTAATCCCTATAGAAAGGGTACTGCTTCATTTTTCCCAGCCCCTCTTATTTCAGAATAGGAGAAGTTTCACAGATCCATGAATACGGTGGCTTGCAGCTGGAGAGACAGTGTCATTGAACAATGACAGCAGGCTTTAATTCTCAATTAGTTTCTTGGCTCTGATGTTGGCTTGCTCAATGCGTTCTCTGTTTGTATCAGCCTGAAAGAGACAAATTCATAGGTCATTTGCAGACTTCATGCAAAACTATTTAAAAATTCAAACTGACATGAACTTCTGAATTGTAGGGTATTATCATTGCGGTACACAGAAGGGGAGCAGCTTTTCTAAACTAGAAGTAATTTTTTTAAAGTTTTTTTTTTTTAAGCCAGCATCGGTTCTCAATTTTGGCAGAAACAGAATCAGGAGAAATAGTTTAGTCTTTAGCTGACCCTCAAAGCATACAGTAGCTTACTTCAGCAAATCAGGAAGAATAGTAACACAACAAGGGGATAAAAATTCCCTCTCCAAGTGTTTAGACATCTTAAGGACCTCTGCAGAGCAACTTAGTTGCTAGGGACTAGAAGTAATCGTCAAAACTGAAAGTGACCTATGGGCATAAAGGAGCTTTGAAATAATTCCCTGATTATCCAGCCTGCATTGGGGAATGAGCAGGAGGGGTAAGAAGCACAAAACTAGCCTCTACCCTCATCATGAGGAGTAGAACGCCTAAGAAGCTCTACCCATGCCATGTATTAGCCATTTCACACCTTCATCTTGCAGTGGGCTGGGAAGAGGACATTGCCAGTTCAAGCCCTTCCCTCCTGTTCTTTCCTTCCTGCCCTTCAAATCAAGGGTTGGGGAGGGGCTTATCTTATACTATAGATAAGCGAGGATCCAACCTGTTAATAACACTTTGTAAACACATTGATCTAGCTACCAGATCCTCTTCCGAGAAAAAGCCAGTAACAAACTTTTAGTAGGAGTTTATTTCAGACTAGGAGTCCTACATAACACTGCAGGCTACCAAAAGCCACCCAGTCAAGCCTATATACTTCCCAGGTTAGTTGGAATTTTTAATCTTTTTAAAAATAAAAGCATCAACTCTTCTGCAGTTAGGCTTAATATTGCTCTTCGTTTCTCTATATGGTACTGTCCTTTAGAGATCTACATTCAACATTTTCATTTGGTTTCCACACTGTTCACTAGATTAAAAAACAGTTAATCAGTTCAAATACCCTCAGACAGGTTGCCAGTCTCAAAGCCAGGAATTGCACTTAAATTTTTATTGCTGTTTTGTAAAGCAATTCTAACTTGTTCACATTATATTTAAATAGTTAGTTAGGCTCAATCAGCAAGATTTATTCAGACCACTGAAATGAAAGGGCATCAGGCCAAAACAGGTGCTCAAAACTACCAGAAACTCTAATGCTGCTAAAACCAGTAATTCCCACTTGCAGTTAATTTGACCAGGCAATTTTCAGTCCACTTTATAAGATCTAAGTATGTCACACCTCATTTTGAACTATGATTAACCTTTTCTAGTGTTCTTTAAAATGTTAGCGTTCTTTTACTTCATAATCACCTCAGACCTACAGTTTCAAGGAACAGTGAAAGACAAGGCATTCTCCATGAGATCATGCTGACATTGGTACAATCAGCATTTGTCAGACTAGCTCTGTATATTTGAGAAAATCCTGTTCCTCTTACTTTTAACCCTACTGGGCATTTCAGTGATATCTAACTTCCTATTTTGTCTTAATTTTGTTATTTTACAGCAATTGTTGTCAACTTCTGCTTTTTAAAAATCTTTTAATAGACACTATTCATTAAAGCTTTTGTTTCCTTTTTTAACAAGGATGCCTATAAAAGAACTTCTACTCATTTCAGAATATGGGCCCCCCCCCCCCCCCCCCATTTATATATTTTTAATCTGTTTTGAGAAGTTAATCTTTAAAGCAATAAAATTAGAAGATGCTACTGGCTATGACAAGCTTTATGTGCAGATGAGGGCAGAACATGCCCCCGTGCACCCACCCTATTATTCTGAAGTCTCTCCAGCCCCAATATTAACCTGTCCATGAGAATTAGGGCAATGAATTATCTGTGTTTTATTTTACATTCAATGACTACAGTGACTTCTTACGAATTCGAGAAGAATCTTGCTATTATTAAAAATACCTATTCCCTACCACATACAAGATACCCTGCAAACAACAATCCCCCAGTTATACCTCCAGTAAATATCTGCCCTTCTGATCCAATCAAGTTTAGTTGTTTTCAGTGACCTGTGCTGTATTTTACTTGCTGTATGTTACTTCTCAGTAACAGCCTCTAAGCTGAAGGCAGAGAACACCTTTGACACTTACTTTTACATTTATCCGGTCTATTTGTTTATTCTGGGCATCAATCTCATTGCCCATATCCAAAGCCATGTTCTTCAAATTCCCAAGAATGTTTCCCACTTGAGCAAGATTTTCATCCATTTCATCTTCTCTGGCATCATTTGTTATTCTGTTCAAATCATTAAGACAATAGTTACAAGAATCAAAAACTTGTTCTTCCCTACCCTAAATTTACCTTAATAGAAATTGCACAGTTATCTGACAGGCAATATATTCAAACCAAGGTATGTCTTTCCCCTTTTAAAACCCCACGTATTCCAAGCAAGCAGTCCACCTGGGTGGACTAAGGGTGCTAAGCTAGCCTTAGATTTTAAAGTAACAGCTACCAAAGGAAATTTAAGACATGAGTTCATCCTAAATACGCTTTATGACAATAAAAGTCCTTGATATTTTCCAACAGTCCCCTCAGTAACTGAGCATTAAGCTCTATAGTCCTCACATCCAGAAACAGACTGATAATACCACCACTATGAAAAAAAATTAAAGTTTAAGATGAGCACTACAATACTGGAAGTGTAGGCACCTGCAGTCTCCTCTCCAAGCAGCAACAATTCCTCCAAGCAGTAAAAAAAACCCAACTTACTATTTAGCAACTTCACCTAAAATGCATCTGAAAAGCTGACAACTGCTAACTTGCGATTTCTGCATCTGAGATGGAAAAACATGAAGCAAACCTTGTAATATATCCACCACTTGGTCCTCCAGAAGTCTGAGGCTGCTGATGATTTATACTTCTTGGTTGCATGGATATCACATGATCTGCAGAGTTCTCCGTTCCATCTCCCCAGGTTGTTCTGTATGCCTTGCTAGCCTCGAAGTTCTTTGTCCTATGTCGTAAAAATAAGAAATCTTAACTGCTACATCAGAAGTATGGCTTCCTGACTGAAAATCTGTATTAATCTAGGATTTTCAGAAACTTTGTCGTGTGCCTGAAAGATTAAATTTTCTATAGACAAAGCCTTGTCTATACAATAGAATTTCTTATAGTGGGATAGTACAAACATAACTTGAGTTACTCTAGGAACAATGGTTAATTTGGTCTTAAGTTTCAATACAAGCACAGTAATTTCCTTAATGTACTTTACCAGAAGAGGGGAAGCTTATGACAGTAACCGGAAAGCTTGTGCTGTCATAAGATAAAGTTGCATTCACAACGAGTTAGTCTAGAGTCAGGATTAGTTACTTTTCAGGGAAAAAATGGGGATGAAGAAAAAAAACTCCCTCAAATACAAGTAGCTATAGTATGCAAGAAAGCCATTAAATTTCTACTGCCTCTTTGTAATACATTTTCTGTTGCCAAGTCTGTTTTTTAAAGTTAATGTTTCTCAGGTTAATTTTGATTATGAAATAAGAGTAACCATGTCTAAATAGCTCCTTTATTCTGCAATTCAGTTGCACTAACTCCATTAAAGCAACAAATAATCCAGACTCCACTGCCACTTTTCTGCTTCTTTAAAAGCCTGTGAAGGGAAATCTGTAGTGTCTGTCAGTATGTCTAACTTTACAATTACAGGTAATTTGGGTATCTGTAGTGCCTTTCAGTAGCCCAGATGTTTCACGTTTGAAGAGGTGTGAAATTAGCTGTAATGAAGAAATATTCCCCTCATTCTTCTGGCATTTCTCTAATTGAAATGGTATTTCACAGGTCAGATACGATGATAAGTAATCTAGTATCATCAAGGGGAAGAAATGGAATAATTTCTCTTGTTCATAATGGAATTATTGCACCCAGCAGAACTCTTAAGAAAAGTAAACTAGTCAATGCTAGCTCCTTGTGCATACACAGGCTTAAAGATCTCTTTAGGTTTACTGCAGCTAGATTGAGCAGTATATTTTCATCTCATTCATACTAAAGCCACAACAGCAGGAAAGTTTTGTATGCTTGGCTTCTGGATTAGCAAAGTCTTAGGTGCCAGAGGTAAATGTGAGGAATTTATTGACCAAAACCAAGTGGCCCGAAAACTATTTGCAATTCTGAAGTACACTGGTAGAAACAGGATTGTTGCTCAAACTAAGCACAGTTAAGAACAAAACTTCTCACCACCTGTTTTTTTATTTTAAGAGCTGTTTTACAAATTATTATACATTCAATTTTCTCACATTTCATTTCATTTAAGACTCAGTAAGACAATTTATACAACCTGTCAAACCAGCAAGGGCTCAAGCAGTTGTTCAACATTTCCACAGCCAATACACTCTGTAGTAATTGACATTTTCTATTCACATAAGTATTACAACACACCACAGTCACAAGGAGACCTGCACACAGACATCATGCACATGCAAGCACAAATCCAACAGAAGCATCACTTCAGACAGCTGGTACATCTGCACTAGTAAGACTGACCTTGTCCTAAAATCCGCTTTCACCAGTTAAGTGTATACAGCTTCTTATCCTAGTCTTCGTTTTTAGAAAGCAAGCATCAGTGTTAGGAGAAAATGGAGAAGAAAGAATAGTAAAGACCAGCAAACAGGTAAATTGCTATTAGTAAATAGATTCTATTAAGGGTACAGCCAGTATTTTGTGTTTTCACAAAGCTTTTTAAAATAATCCAAGCCTAGGAGAAATGAGAAAAGCAATATTTAATTCAGCAAGTGTTCCAATTTAGCTTTATGAAAAAATAAAGCTTTGGCAATAACTGGTTGAGAAATAATTCTGACATTGACAGAAGGAAATTGATGTGCTAGCAGATATATGAAAGGCATTCACAGCTCCTTCATTGCCCTCTACTAATCTATTAGATTTTTCTGCACATTACTGCCCATTTTGGTACACAATTCATTACTTCTTCTAATGTTATCTATGTATTTGGAGTGCCACAGGAGTTCACAAATTCTGAGCTTGCTCAGCATCAATAAGCTGCTTAGCTTTGGTGAAATAAGCCTGTCAACTACAGAAAACAAAGACTGAGCATGTCAAAATGCTCAAAGCCCATCAGCTTGTTAAAACTAATATAAAGCAGTAAGCACACCTATCTAGAAGTCAGGACAGAACTATCTGCCTTTTCAAGGTACTAAAGCTCTAAGACTTTCAGCCTTAGAAACCACATTCATATCCATCCTAAGTGATCCTCGAAGTATTATTCTGTTGGATAAGCAGAGTTCAGCTACTCCAAAGATTTACCTGTATTTCTGCTACCTCTCAGTTGAATAATAAGGGGTTTTTTGCTGATGCTTAAGAGCTAAAAATGAACACACAAACACACTATTCACGTCAGTTGTCACACTCTTAAAATAACTTATTTCTTCTTTACTTGGAAGAACTGTGATCGCATCCAATTCACACCAATCAATCTGATACTTTGCTGCTTAAATATAAACCTCCAAAAAATTTGTTTTCCTTATAATACTGATTTCTGATCATTGTTTAGGTGTTTCAAGTACAAATCAAGCATCATAAAAAAAGATTAGATTACTCTTGAATATGGTAGCCATAACACTGACACTTAAAGGTGCTGCAATGCAGGTCTGCAAGAATTTATGTAGCGACTAGTGAAGGATTAAAGCTTTAACACCAAAGTCTGTTCTCCTACTCTCTTCCTCCCTAGAGCACGAACAATTTTTAAATGCCTAGAGAACCAATATTGCTTTCCTTCTCCAGAACAGAAGTTTCCTTGCTTTTAAGTTAGCACAAAAGTACTTTTCAAAAAACCCACAAGTTTTGCAGTCAAATTTCTAACAGACAGGCACTTACATATAGCTATTTGCAGTCCAGTTTGGTCTCATCTGTATGGACACTTATAGTATTCTACCACATACAAGCTTTAATAAGACTAAGGCACAATTGTGCAGTATGTTATGCAGTGAAAGGGGCACAATATATGGTTAGATGCAAGTAAGTTTTAGCTGTTCTCATACAATTTTAAAGAGTATACCTCTACAAACCAAAACAGTCACCTTTCCTAGAGATTCAGCATTTTTAATTAGCTCTTTTATTAGAGACCACCTCCCATTACAGTAGCTACTGGAAATATTCTATTCTAGAACTTCAGAGCCAAGTACCAATTTAACTGACCTGTTACAAGGACAGACACAGAGCCCACAACATTTGTTGAGCTCTGTCAGAGTCTTCTCTGCTTCTCTCATATCCTTATTTATCTGGTCCATGCCTTCTTCTATGCGATTTAGTTGTTCTAGAAAAGAAACAAGTAACCTGAATAAACATGGATCAGGGGATGGTAGGTATGAGATATTAACATTTCTTTTAAGTAGGAACTTACAAGTCTCAGTTCTATCTTTATACTATGACCAATACCTTTTTTCTTTCCTGCCTTTTGGTATTTTTAAACTTTATTTTAAGATAGATTAAGTGATAAATTTTGTTTACTACATTAAGGACCTGTCCTTAGAGCAGCACTTCTGTTGCAGCTTTTAGAATAAATGCAAACAGTTACATTCATGCTAAGGTGGAGAGAAACTACTTCTGTAGCAGAGGCTGTATTACAGTGTAACTAACATGGTCTCTCAACTACTTTAAAACATCTTTTAAATACTACAAACACATGGGAATAATCAATTACCAAATCTTATTTTCATATAAGTAGTCTTTAATAAGCCTTGAGTTTCAGCAACAATTCTTGCTTTTTTTTTTTTTTTTTTTACAGGCATAAAATTGATTTTTAGTGTTAGAGGGGAAGAAGGAAGAACTCACCTCCTTGTTCATCCAGCATGGTGATAGTTTTGATGCCAACATCCTGGGACTGCAGAAAGAAATTAATTCGCAGATATAAAACCCGATTTCAATAGAGCAGTGCAAAATCAGAAGGGTTCTATAGTAAATTTGAGAAGCCAACCAAGTTCATAATAAAACACTGTGCTAGGAATAACTTCTGTAGTAAAGCTACATTAAGTTTCAAATTAGATCCCGTGTTAGGCTGATGATACTCTTATTTGCTACACAATTATTGTGGGGTTTTGGTGAGGTTTGTTTTTTTTTTTTACATTACAACAAGATTGAACTACAACAACATCAGGCTAAAAAAAGTAAACCTAGCTGTGCCTTGTTTTGACAAGTGGCATTTAGTTCATTCTTTATCCCTACACTCTTTTATAGGGCTGACAAGGCCTTTAGTCCCAGAACAGAGAATAAAAGAAAGCAGAACAATGCCCGCAAAAACCATTCTTGAGAATTCAGCAGAATAGATCAAGAAGAGAATAGCCCATCACTAGTTTTAGAACAAAGCAAAAGAAATTGGCAGTGAGGAATACACTGAGTATTAGTGTAGGTGAGGAATACAGTACAGCTCTTCACTGGCTCAGAGTCTTTAATCTAGCACGCAAGTTGCACCCATGCTTTACTGTAAACTGGCAGCATAGAACTGTCTATGGTAGGAGGTATTTTAGCTTCTATGAACCACCAAACAGTGATACCAAGAGAAATTATGTTGGCTCATTACATGTTCTTAATGTTTGTGTTTGAGAGGTAATCATTAGGCTATGCCAATTTCAAATGTGTCACTGGTAACAGTGGCATCTTCAGTTCTACAGCAGCCTGCTACTGGCTGGACAGTGAGTACAGGCTCTAAAGCAGTAGCGACCAAACACTAGTCTTTATTAATCGGATTCTTTTTTACTGTTCTCACACTGACAATAAATTACCTCGTGTCTTCAGCACTGTAAGTCTGGGCATTAGCTTTGAATGGCATTACTGCTTGGTCTCTGGATTCCCATTTGTCTGTGGCATATCCACATAGTAGCAAAATTGTCTTGCTGAACCAGTTAAGCTTTGTTAAGGCTACCAGAGCCAACTACCAGCCACCTTGTCTTACTCCCTACCAACAAGATGCTCTATCTTTTGAAATTACAGCATCAAAAGTAAACTTTCAGCCCTTCAGTGTAGAGGAACAGATTCCTCATATAAAGTCACCTAGGTAAACCCAAAACACAGATTTGTTTCCAGTAATGTACAAGGGCGTTAAGCATTTCATCATCATACTTACTTCAAAGTTTAAACAGATGAGCAGATTGTAAGAAGGTGTATGTAGAACTACTTTTGTTTAGAATCAAAAGCAGCTCTACCCCCTACTACCCCACCTGAGCCCTAACCTCCTCCTCAAAGCAAGACATTTTCACACTGTTCACAGGCAAAGCAAGCTAAAAGACAAACCCATGATGTTATGAGGAGCAAGTGATGCAGCAGCCAAAGCCATAATTGACCATCACAGAAGGATTTTTGTAACTGATATGTAGCATTGGAGATTAGGCCATTTTACTCGACAGAGACAGGTAAAAAGGATATTGATCCTTCTGTAATCTGACTTTACATAATGTGAAAAACATCAGGTTTAAGTCATTTCAACTCTACTATGGAATTAAAGCAGCAGCTTCTAATAATGAAGTATGTGCCTCAAAAACAGTTTGAGAAGGACACAAAAATGATTAAGATCACTTTGTGATAGTTAACATGTTGCTTCTTATACCTAAACTTAATAAATCCCCAGAGAATTAAAAAGCTTTTCCTTACCTCAATGGCCAAGCCAAGAATCCTCCTTGTGCTTTCCAAAGACTAGAAAGAGAATTTCAAAATGAGTGTGTCAACAGTATACATCAGTGTTGGAAAGTTGTCTTTACCAGTTCATTGCATTCAGGCAACTAGTAAAGAAAGGCTCATCAGCCTGCCTACACAGTCATAGTGGCAGCATACTAGAGTTTTTCAGTAGCTGATAAACACCTGGGTGTTTGTACTCACTAGTACTTTGCTTATCTTATTGGAAAGTCATTATAAAAGAAAATATATTCAATGAATTTTAGCTAAATAAAAAAAGTCATGAAGTTTCAACACGATTAAGTCTTCACTCCAGTATTTACCAAGTAAAGTGAGAGTTTGAAACATTCAGCTATACCCTTGCAGAATCACTACCCTATACAATATTTATTTTTAAAAGATATTGTAATCTTGGCAGACAAATACTGTAATCCCAGGATGGCTTCCTACAATATTTACCTCATCAGTGACCTGGTTGGCCCTCAGCTGAATTTCTTCAGGCGATAGTTCAGCCATGATGAGGAACTATTTCTTGCAAGTAATCACTTGAAAAGAGAATCTTCCCCCTGTAATAAGAGATATTAAGCATTCGAATTATCCATTTATCAGTATTTTGAGCTGAAACTAGAAGACAGTTCAAAGAATGAAAGCCTACACATTTAATTCTGCTTAGTACGACACCTCGTTAGGACTAGAATCATAATTTGGTTGGAAAAGAGCTTTAATATCAAGTCCAACTGTACCTGTCCACTACTAAACCCTGTCTCTAGAAGGCACTAAAAGAATTCTTCAGCTGATATGACACAACAGAGAAGCTAAAAGAAATGCAGGAACAATCAGTATGTGAAATAGTTTCCTTTCCAAGACTTGGCTTCCTAAACATTGTTTGAAAACTCTATCTATTGTTAGTTTAAGGTAAGAATCAGGAAACAAAAGTCTTAAATTAAAAGCGTCTCCATGCTGGAAAAGCACATTGGTTTACCCAGTAATGCAGAAAGGAATTCATTAAGGCCTTTAAGTTGCTAGCATAAGCTTTAAGTGTTCTTCCCATTCTCTTTGAGGGCCTTCAGACAGAAGGGGAGACACTTTCACAGACCAAGCACCACCTAAAATTATTCCAGTAACACTCTAGAAATAGTTGTTCTTATGTTATGGTTAATCCCTCAAATACAAAAGGATCTGCAAAAGTTAAATGATAGCTCTAACTCTGGCAAGGATTTTCAAATCCACCTTCCTCATAATAAAGATAGGATCAAGATTTCTATAACTTAAGTCCCAACACACCATGATTTAACTTTGCTATAAACATGAGATGTATTTTTGCCTGAGGAGACAAGAGGAAAAAGCAAGCCCATCAATACATCTATTCTTATCAGAGCCATTTTTTCAGAGCTAAGAATCTGCATTTTTTGCTAGAGGAATGGTAATCAAGCCAGCACTCCTAGCAATAGGGAAACAGCTCCCAGGCTATACAAAAATTTAATGAGATAACACATAAGAGGGTGTTTTTTCTCCAATGCATTTTCCCCTTAACTTTAGATTAATTCTTGCTCTTCCACGAGTAGCTTCCAGTTAAGTTCACATTATCCATTGAGATCACTCCACACTTCCT